GAAATATTCGGCATTAAAAATGAACATACGAGTATTCATAAGCAATAACCACCAAGCGAGATGATACCAACAAGCATGGAACCAATGAACTTTTAGGAACTTTTTGGTATCACACCAAAGATGCATTTCAGAAATTAATCTAAGGTTCAAATCCTATACCAACTATCAAACGCTGTTTTGAACGCTGTTTTGCAGTACTTGGCCTTTATATATGATTCGTTAGAATAGAATGGGGCAACGCAATGGGGCAACAGCATTCTTGCATTTGAAGATCCATTTACCAAATTATAATCAGAAAAGAACGAGCTGATTTAACAAATAAGATGCCAGATTAGAAAGTTATAAACGTATGAACATCTTGATCATAACAAAAGAATATGTTTTAGGTTGGGAAAAATATTCGGTAAAACTTTAGGAAACTTCGATAAATAGAAGAATTTATACCACAGTTACATAAATCTCGTTGAACCCGAAATGTTACAAGACTCGTAAATCGAAAACAAGCAACTTTCAAAGGTCCAATAAGCACGAGAAATATGTTAAACTAAGGTCCTCAACAAGCTTAAAGGTAAGATAAAATGTATAAAACAATTGAAAAAATTGGAAAATGGGAAACCATTTTTAGTTGATGAAAAGATTCGATCAGCCTCTTTTTGTCCAAACGCCATAGACTAATCGAACTAGTCGTTTCAGATAAATATCAAGAATTATTACAAATATCGACTAACCGATATTTCCATAACCGAAACTTATTGGGATTCCGAAACGTATACAAAATTTTCAAAAACCTCCACCAATCAAAATTAACCGAACTGCCTCATATAACTGAATGGATTCAATCGGCCCCAAAATACTAATAGTTTCGGTTGAGGATACTAATAGTCCTATTTACCTGCCATGCAACAAAGGCAATTCATTTGAAACTCAACGACTTGAAGGCAAAAAATTTTTTATTACTGCTAAGAAATCATATACCTTCATCAAATTTTTATTATCAACGCCGATAAGTTTATTCAAATTAAAGGAATTAAATGTGTGAATTACAATGAAAGGCAGGGTAGAATGGAAAATCATTTCCGAATGCGCCCTATGGACTGGTGGAGACCATTGGAGTAACGCTCGTCTAGAACTGTGAATAAGGCATTGAGAATAATAAAGATGAATAGAATTCTGAACCAAGGTCGATTCAGAATTTTCCTATGAAATTTGAAAATTTTCAGTATGAAATCGCACTTGCAATAAATGGTCGACCACTTTGTTATATAGCTGCACAGTTTATGCAACGAAACACATCATGACTTATACTGATTCCAATAAGGTATAGAAAATAAGAAATAAAGGCACATGAAACCAAATTATAGATAATTTGTCGAAGAAAAGTGAAGCGAAAAAAAGTGCTATGAATATTCGAGCTTTTTTAAAGAAGTCTTTCTGAAGAAGAAAAAACGATTCGTTGCCGTCGTAAGCAATTTTTCTCAAAAATTCCAAAAAAAACATTTGACATTAATAGAAACATCCAATTTTCTATTCATCTAATATAAAATTTAATGTATTTCTTAATGCTAAAATGGATGCTTTTTTTTAAAACAATAACGATTCGCATCTAGAATAACGAAAAACAATATAAAAAGTACCAACATTCACTAAGACTACTTTTTAAAAGAATTTTGAGAATTTAGAGTGGAAACTCGAACTTCCGCATTTTCAATTTCTTGAGGAATTCTTGAGGAAAGGTTGAATTTTTTCAGCTTTTTTATATTTAACAATGTTAAGTTGAATTAAATGTTTTTGAACATTTTTCAAAAATATTTGAATAATGCTTTAGAAAGTCGAAGAAAAAAATTATGCTTTTGCCCTAAATTTAGATAATGAAATATTTAGATAATGAAATATTAAAAGGATTTCTGATTATATTTAACAAAGGTTTTTTAGTGTAAATAAATAAGAAATCGCTACGAAAACACTTGGGAAAAAAAACGCACCACCCTGTGTAATTATTTTCTTATTTTATTGAAATATTTTTTCAATAAAATAAAATAAAAGTTTTTGATAATTTAATCTGAAACTCAGTAAAAGCTGAGGTACAATAGTCGGTTTTTCTATTTCTGATAATATTGAAAAGCATTACTTAATTGCATTGCTTTGCATTTTTTAAACAATAATTTCAGCTGGACAAAAGATGCAAATATAAGCGGAATCTGTAATGTTTGCTATAATCTTTATTAAATGTTAATTTTAAAAAAATAAATAAATAAACCATATATATCCGAAACTTTTGTAATAATTCTTAATAAAAAAAGTTCCATTTCTTGAAGAAATTTTTTTTTTTTTTTCATATTTTGCATGGGCCTTTATAATTTTCTATTGTCGTTTATTCCAAAAATATTTTTTATATTCGAAAAAAATGTTAATTTTTTTGTTAATTTGCTAATTTTTGCTAGTGCTAAAAATGCAATGCTAAAAATATTTTCTTAACCAGAAAAAAAGTGAATATTTGCCTTACCAATTTTCATTGTTTTCGAATGTTGAGATTCTATTTCCTCCAAATATCCATCTGCTGCTATCATCAGTTGCTATTGACTTGTAATTTTATCGCAAAGCAAACTTCCTGGCGAAATTTGTGGCGAAATCTTGATACGCAAGAGGCTATATCACCACAAGTCAGGCTGGCTAGCTTAGCCATAAAAGTAAAACTTTTCATAGTTTCTCAATCTAATTTTTTATATTTGTCTAAAGTTTTTCTTAAATAGTTAAATAGTTTACAAAAATTAGAAGACAGAAATCGCTAATAATAATATATAATATATAATAAAAATAAGGTAGAAATTATTATACTATATTATATTAGAAAATTAGAGGTGGTATGAATCATCTTCAATCTCAAATATTCCAATAAATGCTTGAGAGCTTGAAAATTCTACTTCATCGCTGTCCCTATCAGTGTGCTGTTCTGAGCAAAGATTTCTGACGCTGTTTCTGGAATCTATTAGAGCTGCTATCTGAATTCTCACTATATGGTTTAGAAAATCCCACAGAATTTTATTAATCTCCTTATTAATCTCCTAATTTTCTGAAGAATCTTCCGTCTGGTCTTGGTAGGATCTAATCTATGTATAAAATTTATATATATATATATATATATATATATATATATATATATGTATATAAGTACTAAATAGTATTCCTTTAGATAATACCAGCTACTTGGTCATGCCCTTCAGTATTTGCTATCCATGGCATCTCGTATTCTACCACCATGAAGCTTCTGAAACTCTTCTGTTATATAGCAAAATTAAAAAATATAATATTAAATTAAATATTTTTTTAGATTACAATAAAAATTCTTTCTAATCTTTAAGGTTCCCAGGTTACTAAGATTATAACTTCGACAGGAAGAAAAGATCATTATGAATCTGTCCTGATTTCTAGGCTTGTCAAAAATTTCGCACCGCACCGGAAATGAGAAAATAGAGCGAGGAATTAGTAATCAATAGAGTAATCAGTAATAGAGAATATTGACTTAATTAATTTATCGCCAAGCCCTTTTATAACAAATAGAATATTTCTCGTGTGGTGAAAGTTTTTGGAAAGGCTTAAAGCGGTTTGAGTCGTTTTGAATATTTCTTAAAATAATTCAATAATATTTCTTAAAAATAATTTTTAAAATAATTAACTGAGAATGAAATCGCATTTTTTAAAGCAATATGGGGACTTTCATATTTCATGTTCTACACATTTTCTTTGAAAGATAAGCAATCTAATATCGATAAAAATTTATGTCATCTATTTTTTATTCATCCATTTCAACGCGCATTTTAACTAGTTTTGCCATTGCCGTTAATGATTATTTGTCACAAATAAGAAATACCATGAATGACAGCGAATATCCTTTAAAGGGCGCTGAAGATGAATGATTCTTCATCTTCTTCTAGCACCTCTCACCATTACTGTTTAAGCTGGCTCCAAGGCTTACAAGGGTAAGAGTTTCCAAGCGACGCAGTCTGATGTTTTTGACGATAATAGAAACCATTTTCCATCATCTAAGGTCCATATATTGGTGGTCCACTTTTACGTTCAAAATCTTTTTTGATCTTATTTGTCTTGTTTATGCCATAACTCGCTTTTGGCGCCACCCATCACAAGGTTTAGCAAGTAACGAAATATGCGTTAACTGATGTGGTGAACGATGGAGAAAGTTCCCTAACCAGCGAAGGCGACGCTCTGTGATAACATTATTAATGCAAGTGGTATTTGAACCAAAGTGGGTGCGATCATATGATATTTCGCTTAGCAGATCTGTAAAATCTGTAAAATGTACCTTAGACAAGAGTGGTCGAAAGGCAGATAACGTCTTAACATTTTCCACCCTCATTGGCCATGACTCACAGCCATAAAGTTGGACATAAGAACTTATTTCTACGAGGACCAGGGTGCTAACTTGAAATTGAAATAACTTGAAATTCTTAAAATGATACTTGGTGCAGTATACATTCTACCATATTACTTTTCATCATTTATAACTGCCACTTCTTTGAAATTTCTAGCAGAAATTCTCTGGATAACCTCTTTAAAAGATATACATAAAAGACATATAAAGCTGAGTTCTTGAAATTAATAAGTTATTTTTAAGGAAAAAAAATTCATAATTTTTTATTTAATCAATTTTGAAGACGGAAATATTACAAAATTCTTTTTTGTCTAAAAAATCTATTCATGGACTTCTATTTATTTTATCAAATCCATTCATTTGTTAAAAAGATTGCGAGTTAAGGCTAAAAACGATTGTTGTAGCTCATTGAGCCCGCTTTTTTCGACCTTTTGTTCATTTCATTCAAAGAAAATAATTGATACGAAATATTTCAATGATTTTCGCCTTTTATTATCGTTTTCATTGCACTGTTCAGAGAATCTGATGAATATTCAACTTGCCGATACCAAATATTTTTTATCAAAATATTTTCGACTGTTCAGCTCGATAGATAATTCGCATCGCTGAGAAAATGGAGAATTTTACTTTACAAGCAATTGAGCATCAATTTAACAACTCGACTTTGCTAATAATGATCATAGAATATGTTTGCCTGAATGTAAATGCTGGAACTCCGATGCCAGATCTTCACTGCAAAGAATTTCCTATCAACCATTCTGTGTATGAATTTTAGCAATTTTCATTTTGAAAACTATTTTGCTAATAATTATTTTATTAACTATTTCACCGGATAATCCAGGCTAAGCCATTCTGTTAATAGCTAAACTAAGCATTTTTGTCTTTTTAACGTCTCTAATGATAAAGAAACTACCAGCACCAAAATATTCTACTCCTTTGAATTTTTTTTGTAATATTATTTAAACGGTAGCTTTAATGGGCATAGTAAATAGAATGCCAGTTAAGGAAGATTTCAATTGCTTCATGACTGAAAGTCCAATTTTATTCCGACAAATTGTTGTGATATAGAATAAGAACCAGCTAGAAATCTTCTGCTTCTAACCATCATTTAAAATCAAAAATTTTATCATTTGTATAGTTTATGAATCAAGGAAATCATTTTTAGATGCCCACTTCGTGTGCTTGTAGTGTAAGTATTTTTTGATAATTGGGTACTTCATATTTTAAATCAAACTTGTTTGTTAAATTAATTACAAAATGCCATTTTAGACCAGTTCAATTAATTGTGGCAACTGCATTTTCAGTGCTAATTCTAGTTGCTGTTTTAGGGAATTGTGTCGTTATGTGGATCATATTAGTACATAAGGTATTTATTACACAGAAATTTAAAATGTTCAGTGCATTAAATTGAAATATTCGAATAAGGTTTAACTTCAGCTCAACATCAGACTAATTTAGAATTAGGTTTGAAGTACCGCAATAATAAATTAAACATCAGGTTTAAATTACTGGCGATAGAAAATCATCAAAACGCTAAAATTTTTTAATCCCCTCGAAACCTTTTGTTAAAAGTTAGTGATAAGCTTAAATCTGTTTAACAAAAAATATATGGAAATCTGTAAAAATCCTATTAAACTTTTTTGCTTCATAAAGTCAAAACGAAAAGTTGCTTAATGGCACTTAATGGCAACACGATCTGTCTTAACGTGCTGTTTATTTAATCTAGCTTAGCTTTTAGCGATAGTTTTAAATAAACTCTATGGGCTTTAACGCCCCAAAGATTTTGACATCACAGTACACAAATTCTTGGGTCTTTTAAGGTGCTGTAAAAGTGGACAATTTTTTTCAGATAATGCGGAAAGGTTTTCATTATTTTTTGTTTAACATGGCTTTTGCTGATTTTTTAATTGCATCTGTCAATGTCGGTACATCTTGGACATTCAATTTTTACTACAACTGGTGGTACGGTGATTTTTGCGCTGTTAATTTTTTCTTCGGAGTTGCTCCAACTTGTGTTTCAGTCTTCACTATGGTTGCATTAAGTCTAGATCGGTATCACATTTTTGAATAAATAATTTCCTAATTTTTTCAAACTAATCGTAAAACATTAAGTCAATTTTGTTCGTTGGTTATAAAACAACTATTATAGCACATTATCATCATTATCATCATATAACCATTTTTGGTTTGGTATGTCCTATAGACTATTAGGTATGTCCTATAGACTATTTGGTTTGGTATGTCCTATAGACTATTTAAATCCCTTCTGGAGAATTAACGCAAAGTGCCTATGAGCCATCCGCATTAACCTTATTTGATTTAGATTGGCCCTCGTCGATAGATAAAAATCGGCTCCATGATGTTTTTCAAGCAACATATCACTCGAATATCCTCCTTCTAGAAGAACTATTTATCTAAATCAGCTAGATTTGCTGATTATTTGCTTCTTTATAACTTCTTTAATGAAATATTATATTTTATCTCTTATCAAAATGTTGAATAAATTTGTGGAATAAACTTCAATTTATTTATTATCACTAACTAACTTTTAAAAATTTCTCTTGCTAATTGTTCATTGTCTCCATCACTATTTGTTTAGCTACAATGCTATCGTATATCCATTACGCAAACGACAATTATCCATTCAACGGATAATTTTTATAATAATGCTTATTTGGATCACAGCAGCTGGAATATCAGTGCCTCTGGTTTTGAATTCGCGAACAGAAAAGCATTTCTATTTTTCGAAACGGCAGCGTAATTTGTCAGTTCAATGGCTTTGCATCAGTGATTTCTCCTACAAAATGATGCAAGTTTTCCATTTTATTATTATATTATTATTCTTCCAAACTTCCTTTTGCAAACTTCCTTTTACATAATTTAATTTCAAAAAGTGGAATAAATTATTCTTCATTTAGATATGATCATATTTTATTATTAATCCAGTATATATTGCCTTTATTCGTGCTTTCTACTACCTATGCACGAATAGCCCTTGTTTTACGGGAACGATCCATGGAGTTAAGCAAATGGACAAAGGAAGGACATTATATAAGAATTAAACGAAGGGTACATTTCACAGCTCTTGTTACCTAGAAAAAAAATGTTAAGAAAACGGTTTAATTTTACCATATTTGTAAAATTCTTTCACTTACGCCATCTTTGTTTTCATCAGCCTCAGTGACAACAAAAATAAAATCCTTTCGCCATAGTCAGTTGAGGCTAGAGGTACATCTGGGGCCGAAGCATTTGTTTTTTACTATTATGTTTTTTATTAAATAAATGATGAATTAGAAAAAAGCTTTCATCATGAAAAGGAAAATTACTTTCCTATTTTAGAATTTCACAGGCATATAACAATTTAGGTCATCAAAATGTTGTCAGTCGTTACTGGGATATTTATGGTTTGTTGGCTGCCTTATCAATTATACCATGCTGTTCTGGAGCGTCTTTTTAATAATTTCGAACTAGCGTCATATAGCTATTTAATATTTTATTGGCTAGCAATGAGTGCTGCAGCTTACAATCCATTGATATACTGTTATTTTAACGCTCGGTAACTCTTGAAAAATATTACCTAGATAAAATATTAAAAAGAAGCACTGAGCTCTTAACAAGAGGATTCCCAAAGTTTTACTCATTATCCTAAAATTTTTTTCTTATGTTTCCAAGATTTTTTTCATAAATTTTAAAAATTTTAAAACCTTTCCAGATTTCGAATCGGTTTTCGTTACGCATTTCGATGGGCTCCATTTGTCCATTGCACGGTGGAAGAATATAAAAATAGCATTTTGTTCCCAAAAAAAGAGAAGGGAATGTCGAGTTATCGACATTTTCGATCGACAATGTCGAAATATTCAGTGCATTTACACTAAACGCGTGACTTATTCAAATGCGTTATTCGTTATATGGTGGCTATTTTATTATTGTAATATGGCTATTTTATTATTTGGTTTTATGAGCATTCAGTGGCATCAAAGATCGATCGTTTGATAATCTATTTATTGCATAGTGAAGTTACCACTTAGATTACGCACAAAAAATTACTATATTACTATATAAAAAATGAAAATTTGGTTACTTTGCTCAACGCTTATCCATCTGATCACTAGCTAATGAATACGGGAAATATTTAATTACTTATTGGACAGATTTATTTATAATTTTTTTTACTTGCATATTCTTCTATAAAATTTATCTCGCTGAATTTATGAGAGTAATATTTGAAACTTTCTATCAAATCAACTTTTTATCAAGTAATTCTCATACAGTTCATTAAAATTATCATGAAATATAGTATGAATTTTTTATAATCCCATTCTTTTTTTTAAACAGTGCACAGATATGACTGATATTGTTTGACTGATTTCACTGATTATTAAAGTGGGAATTTTTCAAGCAAAAATCATCCATAGTTTTCATTCGGTTTCCAGTTTTAATGGCAAGAGTCAGGGACCGAATCAATCGTGCACAATCGCAGCCGATATATAAAATCCACCATTTTTCTCCAAATCTTATCCTTTGATGAAGTTTTTCCCAGAAATTCTTCCTACATTAATTCTGCATTATCGTATAATCCCATATTTATTTTATTTTTAATTTTGGATAGGCACTGCAAATAATTACAGAATGAAATATCTACCATATACACAAATATAGTATTTATAGTATAAATATAGTATTATAAATATAGCATTTATTTATGCTTTTCACACAAGAAAGGGGGATATTTTTTTCCATAGACACCATTTATTTTTAATTGCAAATATAAATTAATATAAATTAATTAAAATAATTAATTTATACCCACCATTTATATAGCAATATAGCAATGGAACAGCGTAATGGTTATAGTTGTATAGAAAGCATATGGAATGCAACAGCAACGTTTCGAATCACGGCCAGCCCTCTCTACTGAAGATCCTTGGACAAGACCGTCTGAAAATATATCTGCCTTATCTCAACCTACCAGATGTCTGGTAAAATTCTCTGGTAAGAATGACCTATATCATCCACAGGAGTGAAAATAGAGATTTTTTTACAACTTTTGTATTCATTCTCTTATACTCTTGTATTGCAATGTTTTTCAATTTTTTTTCTTCTAGCATCGTTCATCATATTTCGTGCAGCTGGCCCTAAAGCACCATTATCGTGCAATCTCTACATCATGAACTTGCGTCTGATTAGAAACACATGTAAATCACCAACACTACCAGATTTTTTTCCATTAACATTAAATGAAATTTAAGTTCAAATATTCTAACATTTTCAATCGTTAACATTGAAAATCTTTCATTTCTCGAATCTGCTTATTTTATTTTCATTTTTGGTCAAATAATGATAAATAATACAAAAATAATATGATAATATAAAATACAATTGAAGTTAGAAGTTTTATGTGGCACATTTAAATGAGCGGTTTGGTTTCTCAGCATATATAATATAAAATACAACATAAAGAAATTTTATAACTACAAAATATATGAAACAAAAGCTTTAGCTTGATTCATAAAACTTTATTTATTTATTTATTTATCTTAGTTTGTAACCAAATTGCGATATTCATAATCGAATTTGGAACTAAAATCCAATTTCAAGTGAAAATTCGATTACAAATTGCATAAAACGAAAAGCTATCTATCATCTTCATAGCTATCAATGCTGGTATTATAGGATTTATTCCCGATTTAGAAAACAAATCTATAAATTTCAACAATTCTTGAGATTTTTCCTCAATATACAAGCAAAGAATAAATAAATTAGAAAATTAATAGTTATTTATAGACATACTATATTTATCGAAAATTTGCAAATCTACATAGATGATTTCAATTATTTAACAAGGACCTGGAAGATTTCGATCCAGTTTTCTTTCTTTGTTTTTTTAAATTCATTAATTCTTATTTTGTTCAATAGGCAGTTTTAACTTAAATCTAAGATCTATGGGGTAGAGAAATAAGCGATAAATTGTTTAAAAAAATGAAAGGAGCAAAAGGGATTGTCATACTGGCAAATATCCTTAAAATCCATGAGATCAAGGGTTATTAAATTTAAATAAACAATTCAGCTGATTTTTAAACAAGATAACACGATTTTCTTCCTCTCATTCTGAAAATCAAAGGGAGAACATCCTTTATTAGATGAATTATTCTCAATATACTACAAAATTTTGAAAAGCGACCGTCTTCACAAAATAATTGCTTATAGATTGGAAATCATTGTCAGATAATCATATGGTCATAAGCTTGAACAAATAAATTTCAAAAGATTCAAGTTCACTGATTATTTGGAATGGCATATAGTAATTTATGTCATATCATATCATCACCAGTATTACTGAATTTTCAGTTGCAGCTATAGAAGGTTGAGATGAATGCCCTAAATTGTTATCGGTAAATTTAATATAAAAAAGAAATTAGCCAAATAAATTTCAACTGAGAAATTTTTTTGGTTTGGTTGGCTCTATCAATTATCGCTAGAGGATATATAGATTATTTAAATAGATAAGATAAATAGCTTAATTTAAGAAAATAAAATTTCTGGCATAGCTTCTAAACCGAACAGAATCAGTCAAACATAATATAGTGAGGAAACCCACATCATACGTTTCCAAAGTAATTTTTAAGTTTCTTTTTGCTTTTCGAAACATTTATAAGAATCACCAGTAAGTTTCAATAGATCTGTAGTTATTTTTTAAGTGGATAAATCTTTTTACATTGAAAGAATAATTTCTAGAAAATATTTTCGTCTTGAAAATATTATTATCTTTAAATGAAAACCAGATGAAAAAATGGCTTAAAGTTTTTTAAATCTATATCAAAGTATATCCCAAGACAACCTATTTTCGCCATTTTTATCGGAAGAATCCAATATTTCGAAGCGAACGCTCGGCCGATGATTATCTAAATGATTCCTCGTGAGTGGTGTCCTTTCGTTAACGTTTTTATATACGCTATCGTTGATAGATGTTAAACCATCATTTTCTTCTGGCTTAAAAGAATTTTCAGCTAATGATGCATAAAATAAAAACTAGATCAAATTCAAAAAAATATCGAAGTATATACAATATTGCGAATATTTGAATTGAGATGAATTCCTTGTGCCACCTGAATTTTTAGTAACCAGGCTTACTTCGGTGCAGTCGATTACTCGAAGTGGTAATCGAAATGACAAGCACTCGGCTATTCTGTCTCTTAGACCATGAGATATTTGTATTAAAAAAGCAGCAAAATAAAAAACAATATGTGTTGAAAGTTCAATTCAATTACTTCTATGCAACAAATATTCGACAAATATTATTTACAGTAAGTGTTTAAAAATTCTCACCGATGGTACTGTGGAATTCATAAGATTTTTTGCTGAACAATCCGATTTTTTTTTACCTTTCTTACAATAACGGTCAACTAAATAATTTCCATTAGTTGCCGTACTATTAGTTAGATCGTCTTTTTGTCGAAAGTTCCCTAAAGCTCTGCTCCCTCGCCGCAAATTATTTGAACTTGTATGTTGCAGTTTATATCGTCCATAAAATGTTTTTAACACGCTTTGCACCTTAAGAAATTTTTCCATATTATATTATTCATTTAAAAAAAAAATTAATATTTCTTGGGAAAATGGCAAATAAATAAATAAATGTTCACCGTTGACGTTTCTACCATTTTTGGTTAGGCAAATTGGTCAGCTTAGTTAGTTAGAAAGCTTAAAATGTCAAATATCGCGTAAGAAAATGCTGGGTAGAAGAAATCTCTTTAATAGAAATATTTTCTTCTGAGAATTCCATTTTAAAAAAAGTTTTGATAAATCGGTTTATATATGGAAATTATATATACCTCTTTGTTAGTGAAACAAAATATTATGGATATCATAAACCCTTGGTACATGTAAGTGAATGAAGCACAGTAAGTCCATATCGCAAAATACTGAAAAAATTCATGCAAAAGGAATTTTCGAGAAAGATTTTCTATCATAATTAACTAATTTATAATGGTTCTTCACCGCTAAATAATGAAACAAGAAGAAAAAATATAGTTTCTTAAAATTCTTAATTATTTGTAATAAGAACAATAAAATACAATAAAATGATATAACAAAATGCTATGTACCATTATATTATACTGAGTGGGTGAGAAGGGTATCGTTTGCATTATATTTGGAATTCCTAACAAAGGAACCAACATAAGCGCTGCTTTAACACTTTTTCTGAAAAAAAAAAGACTGTAGCATAAGAATAATAATTGGTTCTTTTGGTTCTTCTAGTGTTTAGATTGCAAATGTTTTTTGCCTGTAATTCTCAATTTCTTTAAAACATTAATTAGAGATCTATAATATAAGATTTTGCAATGTAAAATTTATAAAAATCAATCTAGAAGAATGAAAAGTGCAAAATTAGCTCATTAAAATGCAGAAAGTATTTTATTTTAACGATTGTCGAGCAAGAATTTAGTTAGTTGCTCAACTTAACAAATTAATTTATTCTTTACAGGCAACTATTTTTCATCAATCAAAAATCAGAAAAAATTAAAGTAAATTAATATATTTGCTGCTGAAAAGAAGTATTTATGGAAACTGATTTTGAAAATCGAATATAATCTCAGGTTAAAGTATTGCGCTAAAATAAAAACCTTTAAAAATGCCTTCAAATACTATTTTTTTAAAGAGTCCTCACCACTACTGGTTAAACTCGCTCCACTGGCTTGTCACACTGCAGAAATATGCCAGAAATCCCTTGGCGATAGAAATACAGGTGACTCGCTAACATAACCGTGATTTTTGGTGGTAGGTTTATTTCTACGAGGAATAGAACCTCGGCGCTCCAAATTGAGCAACAACCCACTGAACTATTCTAGCCCAAATAGAAAAAATAGTAATCTAAAATAAAAACCTTTAAAAATGCCTTCAAATGTTATTAAAATCAATAAAAAATTAATTTTTTTACTAAAAGACTTCAAATCAAGCCAACTTTTTCGTTTTATCAACCATTGCAAAAAGATTAAAGTATATTGTTTTCAATAGAATATATATATAGCTTGAGGCAAATAAAGCAACAACAGAGAATGGAACTGACTTCATTCGATCGACCTCGGTAGTGTTGTGGGTTTCGCGCACTTTTGTCCATAAAACCCGTATAACATTGCAAATAAAAAACAAATTTATCTAAATAAATTTTGATAATTGTTTATTTCTTGGTAAATATATTGTAATTTGGAGTATTTTGAAACACATCTTTTATTTACATGCGTTTAGTAATACATTAATATTTTTCGAACTTTGATTTATGATATTTGACATAAAAGCGAAATTGATAAGAAAAATTATTAGGCATGATTATTATTATTATAAAAATATTACAACAAGTTCAAGCATTCTTGGCCCATCAAGTATCCAAAATTCTGGTTCTAAATAATAAGAACCAAGACACCTTTCTACTTTGCCCCGTTTCTTATATAGTACGACAGCAAGCCAAAAAAATGTATGTGCAAGTGGGCAACCTAAAAATTATTAAAAGTTTATAAATGTTATAATTGCCCAAATGAGTAAAATGAGCCCTCAGGCATCTTTCCATAAAATTGAAGTATATTAAGGAAATTTGCACCACAAATAAAATATTTTTGCGTTTATATAAGATATACTAAATGGCATTACGTTAGGATTTATGAATTTCTTTTCAAATAAAAAAATTCTTGCTGAAAAAAGCAATTTTAAAAGCAATTTTAAAACTTTTATAATCTTAAAATTTTTATTTTAAAAAAATGCAATGAAAAAAATTTTGCAAAATTTCCAGATTATAGATTTATTTTGCTCAAAAGGATTCGAGATAACTATAAGTTGGCCATAAATTATCGGTTGTTTTAAATCCCAACTATAATTTGCCTTCAGGCCCTAATTTAAGTTGTTTAAAACGAATAAAAATGGTAAAAAATAAGAAAAAATAAATCTAAGAAAATTTTAGAGGACATTATTTCAGTGTCAGCCAAAATTAACAAAAATACCATAAAAATGGACATAAATGGGACTCTGTGAGAAAATATAACTTAGGTAAATTTAAAAATAGCACTCAACAATATTAAAATAATAGCTGATTGTAATTCATAGCGAAGGGTTCTCGCCCTAAAAGCTTATAGAAAATGATTTAAAGATTGTAATATGTGATGGTGATCAATTCAGTGTTGAACACTCTTAAAGAAAACCCACCGTAGCCAACAAATAGGTATGGCATTAATTGTGGTTCAGCATTGAATACAGTGAACACAAGTTGATTGTGCAAATAGAATCCTTCGAGAAACATCCAACAGAAGGCAACTGTTTTGAAATATTCAAGTAAAAAGAACATCGACTCGCAAACAAATACCTGAAATTGCACTATTAACAATTAATGCAGATTAATCCTCAATGAAAAATTAATTTTGCTAATTTCAAGGATATTATTAGGTTGTCTCGAGATATTGCGATATTCTACTTTTGATTTATAATCCATAAAATTTATTTAAAAACTTGTTGAGTAAACATCGAAATGCTTTTTTTCGAAGCAAGATTTAATTCACGGCATTGGAGTTGCTATGGAATCTCTGTCTTTTTCTTCGTCTAACAGCGCTCATCATTCCTGCTTCAGCTAGCATCACAGGCTATTGCGGTTTCATGCGGTAAAACCTCTTCACCAGAGCTATTTGAAAATGGAAAATATCCGCTTCATTCAGTTTTGCAATTAAGTATGAAACGCTTAAGGATTCAATTTATTTTTTGCCCTACGCATTGCAATTTTCTCATTCTTGTTTTTTGCGAAGGATATCTCCCGAAAGTAGCAAAAAAAGTGGAAAAAATTGTGGTTTGAATAAGTTTTCAGAATTCAAAGATGTTCAGAATGCCAAGAAATAACCTAATATGCTCACCATAGTATTAATTGTTTTGCCATTTTGGTTCAAATGTGCTGGCCCCAATCTATCGGTAAAAATTAAATCAATATATAAGATAAGTCGAATAATCACAACCATTAGAATAGCAATCATTAGTTGCAAGTGTAGAAGATTTCGAAAAACCCGAAGCCTCCTGTAAATATTGGAAAATTTTTGGCAAAAATTCTAATTATGGCTGATGACCTGTAATCTGTGAACCTACTCTTCAATCTTAATCTTCTTTTTGGAATTTTTTTCTACTGAGGCTTCAGTCTAACTCCATTTTTACTCTATTTATACTTATTTCGCTAAATATATATGTATATACAAATATATATCGTAGTTAGGGCAAATGATTTTGCAGCTAGTTGTTCAGTATTTATTCTTATGGTTCTAGCTAAATCAAATGTAAATAGCATTCTGTTAACAATGATTTTAAAAAATGGCATAAATTCTTGAATAAACTTAAAATACCTGAAATATGAAAAAATAGCAATAGAAATAAGTAAAGAAAAAAGCGATAAGCCGAGTCCAACAAATTCAAGTTTTCTTGCATTTCTGGCTACTTCTTGTGCAATCTATAATTTCTCTGCATTTATGAAAAATTTGCAGGGAAGTACTGTAGTTATAAAACAGCAATCCAAAATTTTCATACGATTCGTGCTTCATCATATTTGAAAAAATCATATCAGATTGGTTAAGCAGTTTTGCTTTAAAGTACACAAAAGATAAGCAATAAAAAAATCTACCAAGGATCAAATATATACCCAAAACTCTGCGACTATTCAAGGATAATGCTTCAAATAAAATATTGAACTCACTCACTGCCATTTTGAAAAATATTGAAAAATATTGACGCTCATTTATTATCATCAAATGTTAGCCAGTAAATATACTAAAAACTAACAACAAGAGACCCGTTTGTAAGCTTCATCATCATATCAATAACTTCTTGTGTAAAACACATCGTGAAATTTGTCCAGCCATGTATTCGAGAGAAATCGCCCTCTTCTTTACCCATCCATCTTCCGGAACTATGGCAAAATTTCGTTATATTCTCTGAAATCCAAATATGAATTTTTAAAAAATAAATTTAGAATTACTGCCGACATCATCTCATGAGTATTGAAATTTTAATTTAGCCATTAAAGGAAATACTAGAAAACAGGAAAAATATCAATAACAACCGTGAAGGGAAGCCGTGTTTTACAATTCTATTTTCTCCGGTCATCAAGATCAAAACAAAGGGAAAAATCGCCATGGTGGATGACCAGATTTTTACTGCCAAATTTTTTTCCCAAAAGTGTTAAGCTTGATGACTAAAACGAACTGGCTGGGTCAAGCCCTTTAAGTGGCGGACAGCGAACAGTAATGCTTGTATTGGCTGGAGTGGCAGGCCAACAAAGAACGGTATCAAATGTTGCGTTACACCACAGTGATCCATCTGCTGTAAAAATCATATGATAGATTTTTTGAATTTTAATTCCTGAAGAAAACACCGATATATTTGATATGAAATTGTTCCTGAAATTATCTTAAATTTTCATTTTTTGCCAGTATGAGATATCCAATTCTTTTTAAAATTTTTCTAGAGAAAGGTCTAGCAAAAATAAATTTCGTCCTCTTCAAAACTAGAGAAAGGTAAATTATATGAAATGTTTATCATAAAGCTATGCTAGAAATGAAATTTTAAGATATGGTCGAGCAAAAGCATCAGTTGCTTACATATCGTGTGATGCGATAAAAATCTTTTATTTTACGGATTTTTCGAAAGCTTCAAACAACTCGAAAAAAAATGGACTGCGGAAATATATTATCCCAATGCCCATCGAAGTCCGTCAACGCATAAATGGTCAATATTTATTATTGTCGGTGGTAAAAAACAAATTTTTTAGATTATAACCATAAATAAAATCTTACATGTATCCGGAAAAGTTGGCAATGAATTAGCCTCAAGAGCAGCTAAACACTGTTCCATAGTATCAGCGCGATTAAATTCTAATTCCCGAATTTCAACCCAAACATTACTCTCGACAGCCGACGTCGACGGCTGATTGTAGAACAAATTTCCACTTATCATATTTAGTATCCTGAAATTCAGCAATTATCAATCCAGAAAGCCCAATAAAATTTGTTGTAGACAACATCTTATCAGATCAATTCAGTGGAATTTTTTAATTAATGGGCATTTGCTCGCCTTTCATTCAAAGTCATTCATTCAGCCTTCTTAATGAAGGAGGAACAGATTTTTCTTCTCTCGCAACTTTATCAAAAGGTTTCTTCATTATTGAATTCTCGCACCAAGCTTTAAAAATGTTTTGCGAACACAATATACGAAATTTAATTTCAATATTTAAATATTTAATATGATATTAACTTAATGAACTCACTTTATTAATAAACTTGATTTAAAAAATTAAAGATTTAATTAATCATTAAAGATCTCATTAATAATTAATTAAAAATAGAAATTAACAATTAAGAAAAGATTTAATTAAGCTTAAAAAGTTTAAAAGATGAAATATTTTCTTAATCTGGATCAATTTAATAAACAGGCATTGAATCGATTATTTAGGTTAGGTTATTAGATTATTATTTGTAAGCAAAAATATATAAAATAATTAAAGAACTCCAATTCGTTTTAGCTAATAAATAACGAAAAAATACCAAAATTTTGTAGAATATTAAATGATATGACAAGTGAGTATAGCGCGAATTTCTAACGGAGACTTATTCGTCTTATATTCTGGCTACATCCCTTATATTAATTTCTATTCATTTTAATATTTTCAATGTGAGAGAAATAGGTGGTTTGCTAGCGATAGAAAAGAGAATAAATAATTATAACAATAATAATGATTATTAATAATAACGATAAGAAGGCCAAATCCATGATAATCTATGAAGAATTAAATAAAATGAATCGTTTAGAAATCTAGAAGAATATGAGTGGTTTCAGAGCCAGAAACTGTCAATTATATTATCATGCTATTCAATTATGCTATTCATATTACCGTATTACCTGGCAAATGCAAAATTTAAATCAACAGCACAATTAAAATGGCTTTTAATAGAGGTTGATATTTGAGAAAAATATTCTGAATCCTGTTCTGAATAATTAAGGTATGAATAATGAGTGCAGGATAAGGAAATATGGATCAAAATAATATTCATAGAAGATTGATTAATGATTGATCAGGTTGATTCTCTAAGCAAATGACGGCAATTATCACCATCAATTATTACCATCCATCAATTATCATCATCCATTAAGTTAAGAGTAATACTGGACTTAAATTAACTGGATGTTTTAAATTTTAATTTTAATTTAATATGAATAGCATTTTTCTATATCGACTTTTCGATGCTTCTTGCTCGAGTACTTTCGACTGGAGTTTTCAGTTTTCAATGCAAAAAATGAAGTGAATTTTTATGTTCCAATATCTATTTAACCGAATTTGCATGCTTACATATAGGCCAATGTACTTCAAAAAGGGAAATTCCAAAGTCTTTGAAGTCTTTTAGTTAAAATGTTTTTTGAGTGTTTTTGAACGGAAGCTTTTAGATTCGACTCTTTCAACTTTTCTTTTCAACTTGCATCAAATTATTTCCGCTTTAATGCATTTATATTTAAAGAATAAATGCATTATATAATGATTTTTTATTTAAAACTGATGTTAGCGCTAAAATCAAAATTATTTCTGAATATTTCTCCCTTTGATCCTTTAGATGTTGAGTATCCACCTAAGGCATTTTATCTTTTTGTTTATCCCTTGCGATTGGCAACAAACAAGTCAAATCTGGATTTTCGCATAAAGAATTCAGTTGCTTTTGATTTACTTGGCTCTAAATCATTATTCATTAGGATCTTGCGCAATGATTTCTTTATTTAATGGTTTGCAATTTATCATTACTTGTTCTTAAAAGAGCTGAGTGAAATGCAAATTTAAAAAAAATGGTAAACAAAGAATTTCCTTAAAGTTTTTTTTAAAAATTATTCATTATTTATTATTGATTATTATTATCTATATTACGTGGCATCCAATATTGAAAAAAAATCTTTTCATGAATGGAAACAAACTAGTGAAGCATTCGATAATAATCAAGTCATCACAGATTTAATCCCTATTCCGTGTCCGCAGTGAACTTGTCTAAGCTCATTGAAAATATTTAGAAACAATTTCATGAGCTACCAACAGAATTAACAAAAATTTCATAATTAAGTTCTTAAATTTTATAATTAAATTCGAATAAAAAAATAATTATTAATATACTAATTAATAATATTAATATGTTTATGAAATATGCGAAAAAGAAAATTGAGGAATAGACTTGCAACAATTCCAAAAAAGTGAAGAAAAGAATAAATTTCGTAGAAAATAAAAAAAGTGAAATTTTTGAAAATTTTTGAAAATTTTTGAATTTAGGTTCCATATAGGATGGATTTTATGAGAATATATGATAATGCGCGTCGCTGAATACTCGTGAGGCCATGACCACGTTTTTATGCATGAGGAGGTTAATAAACAGCTTACTATATCGGCTAGCAAAAAGAATCGTCCTCTGAATAGACAGTGGTAATAGATAAGGTTTGATTTTAAGAACATAAAGAGTTGTGTTAAGCAATCGCAAGTAGCATAAAGAAGTACAGTAAAGCAATCGAAGAGAATGCGCTGTAGTGAAATAATGCAGTTGGATTTGACGGGAATAACGAAGCCATAGTACTTTTATCGGAGCATATTAGGATTTGAGGAAACATTTAACAATATTCTGGCGTATAACAAATTTTCAAGAATTACAAAGTGTTGCACCTGAAAAGCGAGTATACACTAACACAAATTGTACAAATTGTATAACTAAAATTGGAAAAAAAATATAAGAGAAAAATTAGACGACTTTACCATTTCGATATCTTTATATAATGCATAATGCAGAAATGATGAGTTATTCAAAAAGCTGCGAATAGCCGTGGAGCTGTAGCTCAAAATCTTCCAGGGTTTTGATCCTGCTTCCAGTATTTTATCATTTTGAGTGGCGGCTCTGGCTATCCACCTTTCTATTTTATCATCAGCTGATTTCCTGGCAAAATTTTCTCATTTTATTAATAACCAATGGAGCAAACCTAACCAGAAATGGAGAATATTTATCACTTGTTTAATCCTTAGTTAGCGAATTGGGCACAAATATTCAAAAATTTTAGTAGCGAAAATTTTCCTGAGTTATTTCATCGAATATTATCCTTAATTTCCTTACCCATAGATTTTTCAGAAAGGGATTGAATTTGTTCAATCAAATTTTCAAATCCTTATTTTTCCTTCAATTAAATGCGGAATTCTTATCACTCTATTTGAAATTAGCCACCTCATACAATTTCCACGATTTTGAAGACAGAAACTAGAATTTGTCAAGTAATTTTTGGTATTTGCGACGACAAATTTTGTTCCTTTTAATTACTTCAATTTAGTTTCATATTTTCTAAATTTCAACTTGGCTTTTTTAGTGAGAGGGATGATAACCTTATCTTATGATCATATTATCCCATGAGTATATCTATTAGTATAAGTCACTTAATCAATTGGAAGTTATCTGTACATTTATTGTAATATTTATATAATTCTAATAAATAAAATCAGTGCTATTCAGTGCTATTTAAACATTAGAACAAGATTAATCATTTTTTAATTATTAAAATGAAAAAAATCAGGAAAACATCCATCGTTTTCGTATGAAAAATTTCGAATTATTTAGAGATATTAAAAGATTTCATGCAATTTTTGAATATATTTATGTACATATAAATGTTAAAAGTCAAAAGAATATTCACGGAAAAATTACGTTATAGGATAATCATATGTTTAAAAATTAGTACAGATTAGTATAAAGAAATTTCGTCTTTTTCCAGCTTACTTTTCTTTTTTTTAAGAGCACTCACCAATACTAGTTAAACTCGCTTAGCTGGCTTGTCGCAATGGACAAACATGACAGGAAATCCCTTGGCGATAGAAGTACAGGTAAGTCGCCAGCATCACCCGGATTTTTGGACAGATTTACTCCAATTTCAATATCAGCGCTCGGAATTGAGTAATAACCTTGAGCCATCCTTCACATTTTCACAGTTTGGTTGGCTCCAGTGATAAATAAATGGGATAAGATCCTTTTCGCCAGAGAGTCAAGACTTGGACTGAAGTAAAGATTCAAAAATTAATTAGAGAAAAAAGGATATATGGAGAAATAACAGTACAACGGCAGGCATGGATGGTATTTTTTGACCATATTTGTGACTAGTATCTCGATGGAATAAATAAAAAAACATTGGCGAGACGATCCAAAAGCACCAATTAGTAGAAGAAAAGTGAGATAATTATTTGAAGGCTGTTCCTTGCATTAAAAAATCCTTAAACATTTTTGCAAAAGAGGAAATCGATTTTAATATAATGAATATGCAAAAAAAGTTGAACATATTAAGTAAAATATTCATCAAATAAATTCTTCATATGATATGAAATCAATCAAATATTAAGGAAATAAGCCGTTGAAGAAAGCCTTATTGAGGAAAAAAGAAGCCTAATTTTCGTCACTTCTTATAGGAATAATCAAAAAACTGAAAGAATGCATCATTATCTCCATCAAACTAATCTTATTAAAAACGATTTTGGAAATGGAAAATTTTGAAAACAATTCTCAGTAAGAATCACTTTTGTCTAACAATAACCATTTTTGGTTTGGCTGGCTTCATTGATTCTTAGAGGCGAGTCACCTATAGAGTTACATACGCTTATCTGGCAGCACACGGAAATCATTTTTAATAACCTTAGTCAAACTTGTAACTAGTAAAGGGAAAGGAATCGAACTCCCTGATGACTTGACGTTAGTTGAAGCGGAACACCATTCGACAATAGGGACCCTAATACACATTACAGCACTGAAATTATTTTAAAAAATTGAAATATCTTCAAATTACTTCATATTTCTTCTTTCGCTTCATCTTTCTCATTTCATTTTCTCTTTCTTTTAACATATCTCTATAATTGAATAATTTAGAAAATAGCTGAGAATTTCATAAATAAAAAAGTGTAAGAA